CATATTTATGTTATAGAACATGCTTTAGAATTTAGTCATCAGTTGTTCATTCAGCTGTTTGCGAGGTTTTTAAAACCAAAAACTGAGACAGAATGCAGAGTATCTATCGGACTCAAGACACATGGAACTTATTTTACCACTAGATCAAATGGATCAATAGCAAATTAATTGATTGATCATGTTTCGTTGGTGCTTAATGCATAACTTTATAACTGCTAAATATCGTCAAAAGAAAATGACAACTTTACATTATACCCGGACATTATGACATTCTTTCTTGTCTTTTTGGTAACTGGTATTTCGTTTTGCAAGGGTGCCACAGACCTTTTATTTCTAAACACATGGAGTAACCAATGAAATGTCGATATGGGATGACTCCGGGACTAGCCAGTTATCACCAACCTTTCACCAAGCTTGTCTGGAAGGTAATGAAAGACTTTCATTGATGGGCACCGAGAGAGACTAAAAAAAGTGTGACTTTTGCAGAGATAACAAAGGGACTGCTATGAAAAATTCATATTGAGAAGTCGTTTGCCTTTGCAAACACAAAGCAAGACAAAAAGGATGAGTGGACAGTGGACAGGAGCTGTGTGTGGAGCTTGGCAGATCTCCTTTTATAGATTCAGCCAGATCGCTTCATCAAACTTTGAACAGTTGTTTGTCACTACGACATTTCCAATCCAAACTGCCTCTATAGGTAGTTCAGAGTCAGAAGGTGGTTTATTGCCAAGCAGGCTTACCCATACAAGGCATTCGTCTTGGTATGTAGATGCAAGAAATACAAGATGCTGCCACATGTAACTGTAGATTGTACTGTGAATATTTTTTTAAATATAGAAAATATTCCATACTAACATACGCCCTGAACTGCTGACAACAATGAAAAGAAAATAATGTCCAAACCCTGTACTGACTTGACAACAGTGTAAAGAAAATGTATTGAATACGTTCAAAGTAAACCCAGTCATTCTGTGCACGGTGTGCCACAATGTATTTTTTGTTATTGGTAACCATGGCACTGGTACACAAAAAGTACACATTTTGTACACTTTTAGACTGTTTTGTTGCTCAAGCCCAGCTGAAGGGCAGGATAGTCTAGAGTTTGACTCTTAACTGAAGGGTTCTGAGTTTGAACCAAAATGTCTGCAGTACACCTGTAGGCATCCTTGAGCAAGATAAGAAAAAAAGAAGGAAAAGTAGAATATGATTCACTAAAAAATGATCTGCTAAATAATGAATTAGTAAAAAATTCAAACCAGAACTAGCCACAAACAAATTTTTTTTTTTAATGGGGGGGGTCTCACCATAAAGACACCATAAAGTCCCTTTCAAATCCACGCCTCATGGTCGTGAAATCCCCAGAAGTGAGTGAATCGTTGCGGAAAGTCATGCCAGGAAGGGAACATCGTCCAAGCAGATTGGGAATCCAATCTAGAGGTAGTTTAGGTTTTATCGCCGCGTCGACTGAAGACACCAACATCGACTGAAGGTAAGGCTCAGTCGCCAGCCAATGAGGCGGAAGAAACAAGGCAAACTGCTGGTTTGGCATCGGCTTGGAACGTGTAATACACTTCTTAAATCTCCCAGTGAACCTATGAGTCGGCATCCCTTACCGACACGCCAGGGGTCATTTGCCGTGAATTAACAGAATAAATAAATGCATGGAGCTGCGGCGTTTCCGTGAGAACGATAATGATGGTGGAGATGCAAGGTCGTCATTGAAGCAGTGAACATATTTAAATACTTTATAGAAAGACATTTGAATTAAAGGTGCAGTGTGTAGAATTGAGTAGCATTTAGCAGACTTTGCAGAGATGGGGTATAATATTCATAAGTTTGTTTTAATTAGTGTATACTCCCATGAACATAGGAATGGTTGTGTTTTCGTTACCTTAGAATAAGCCCTTTATATCTACATGGGAAGCGGGTCCTCTTCCACGGAGCCCGCCATGTTGGACCGCCATGTTTCTACAGTAGCCCAGAATGGCAAGAGCATTTTTAATTAAACACATAACAACATAATTGCCATCTTAATTGTAAGCTATGATCTATAGTTTTACAGACTAAATAACTGAATATATATAAATCTATCAAGGAAGCTCATCCCTTGACACTTGGCTACTCGATACTGTCGTAGACGATGACATCATTTTGGAAGTACCTACAGAAGGGGTGGATACATATAAATGTCTATAACATTAAAATCACAGTAAAGAAGTGTATCCTGCTAGCTCTACAACAGCAAAAAGCAGGTAAAAAACTGCGTGGTGAGTGGAGCTCCAGTGTGAATATAACGCACATAGACCTGTATAAAATACAGGTGACTGCAAAATCACCGGTGTAGCCTATCTCACGTGGTTGCCTAGGCAACAGCAGGTAACGCTATTAACAAGTACAGTAAGGAAGAGAGCTAAAATGAGACAGTCACTCTCGTCACAGCTATAGTACGGGGGGAAATCGATACTTTGCTGACGGTGACTGTTCGTTCCCACTTAACACTCGTAGAAAGCCCGGAAAACTGGCGTCTGTCTGGCAACCTACCGTGGAAGACACACACACACACACAGACACACACACACACAAACACATGTGCGCACACTCTCACTCATACACACACACACACACACACACACACACATATGTACGCATACACTCTCACTCACTCACTCACACAATTTCTCACACTGACAGACAGACTGACACCCACACACTCTCGCTCACACACAAACAGACACACAACCTGCATGCAGTCAGACGCACTAAATCCCATACAGACCTCAGGCCTCTCTCTCTCTCTCTCTCTCTCTGAAAACGTGGCAGCCCCCATATAGACCACATATAGATTTTCCTGCTTAGTAATTCTGAACCGCTGAACGCATCTTAACAATGTCCAATCTGGCTACGTGCTAATTAAGAGTCGGGCAAGGTGGAGTACAGGGGAGGTGGGGGTGGTGGTGACACACAGTTTAAAGGGAAGTCTGACAGCTGTGTTGCCTCCACCCAGGGCTAATTTTACGGCATAGTGGTGGATAGAAGAAAACACGCTGATTCAAGTTTGCTGTAGTGTGACATCATGGGCTCATTTTTATGAATTGTCGCTTAATTAATGGTCTAAAGTGAGGAGAAAGTTGGGAATTGTATTTTTATTGCTTGATAGTATTTTATTGATTGATAGTTTTTATTGATAGTTGTGCCCCTGATTGTGCTCCTCCTATTTTTATGGGACGTCTTCTCACACTAATTAGGCCTGTTGAATTCAACATGGAGGCTGTGTATAGCTGTTTTGTTTTGATTTGTATTTGTAAGTATATCATTTTTTAAAGTAACATAAAAAGCTTAAGAGAAATAAAAGGAGGCACTAAATAGTTTAAATTGAAATGTTCCCAAACAAATTAAATGAGTGAGAAATTGTGAATGAGAAAACGCAGCTAGTACAAATGAAGAGGTTGTGAGTATATTCAGTCACCATATTCAAGTTTAAGCTCAATGTTGACAACTTGTTGTGACAAATGACGTCCATTTGTTATACATTTATGGAAACCTTTATCTTCTGTTGGTTATAAAATATGTATGGGAGTGGGTTATAGACCATAGAACAAGAAGATACTGTCTTCAGGTCACATGGCATTCACTTCACTATTAAAGAATAATATACAAACCTCAGAATCTCGAAAAAATGATTACGTCTGAGACGGCACAGAAAATAAATGACGGCACATCTTCTTCATTATTATATATTATATATTAATATATATTTAACATTGTGATGACGTCCATTCATGCAAGAAAAAAAGATGTTTTTAATTAGGTGGCTTAAAATGTACGTGACAACAAGGAAGATAATATTACGTGAGAATATTAAACCAAGAGCACAAAGTGAACCAACTGAAAGCCACTACAAGCAGACTGCAGCTGGATCAAACCTCGGCTCTGGAACTAACCAACCCTAGCACGACCTCCAACCCCTCTAAACTGCTGTTCAGTTGTCTATCAATATTAAAAACACTTCTACAGGGATAAACGCCTATCCTTGTTATAACCTTGACAAAAAAACAAACAGAAAATGTTTTTTTGGTGGATTTGACAACCACATGCTGTCAAAACAAACCACCAGACTATTATGGTTTAGATGGCACTGAAAATCTGTCTCTGTGCTTTTTAAAAGATCGCAAGGGTATTTTACTTTATTTTATTACGGTGGATTTCAGGTGGGATTTGTTTTTTTTTCATAAAGGCAGGCATGTGTCTCGCTATACACAATATATACTTTTTTTGTAAAATGTGTTCATTTTATAGCTTACTTTGGCCTGTCAGCTGAGTTTGTGTGCATTGTCCTAAGAGAGAGAGAGACAGAGGAAAAAACGCCTTTCAATGCATTACTTGTATTTCTACCTCGAACCCAGAGGTACCTACGTAGCAACACACTGATAGCATTTACACATTTTCAACAGACAGCTGAAAGCATGGACTCAGCATGGGAGTAAGGCCAGAGCAGAGCACCATGGGCACTGTTAGAAACATTCACAGAATACCACATTAGGGTTAGGGTGTTCAAAGGTCCTGGGTTCGATCCCCAGTGCCTGCAGCCTACTTGTAGGCATCCTTGAGCAAGACGCCCTAACCATGATCTGCTCCTTAAAGGATAACTTTGGGATTTTTCCACCTGGACCTATTTTCCCATCATTTTTGGGTCTCAGGGACTAATGCAGACAACATGTTTTGCATTCGGTCCAGTATTGAGCGAGTGGGTTTTAGGGGAGCAGGGTATGCATTAGCATATTACTGTCAATGTACATCCCCTAAAAGTGCTTGTTTTGTCAGTCTTTGTCTGACAACATTATGGAAAGGATCCCTATAGAGAAAGAAATACTTAGACACAATAGACACAATAACAAACAGACCGGATGGGAAAATGGGGTCCAGGTTAAAAAAAAATCCCAAAGTTATCCTTTAATTATACGTATCTTAAAAAAAATCAACGTGAGTCACTTTGGAGAGGGGCAGGACAGTATCGTGGATGGGTTGTTAGACGAGGTTGTTCGACTTCCAGCCGAAAGGTTCTGGGTTCAAATCCCATTGTCTGCAGCCTAGCTCTATCATCCTTGCCATCCAAGATTAGCAGAGAGTAGGATAGTCAATGGCTGTGTTTCCATCAACATATTTTTATGCACATTTTGAAGTATCGCATTAGAAGTGGTTGATGGACACGTCAAAAAAACGTCCTCAATTTCTCAAGAACGTTTTTTATGCTCGCTTGAGGTGTTTTTTTCCTTTTTCAAAATAGTTAATATGCTAAATAGGAGATGGAAACACCTTTGCCGAATAAATCAAGACATAGCGAACATTTAACTCACATGACTGATCAGCTGTTTCGTCTGTCGCTGTCTTCACGGATATTCCCATGACGCGCCAAAACATGGCTGGTAGCAACAACCAGCAACAACACCTAGGTGTGGACCGATGAGGAGACCAGAACATTCCTCGGTCTCATCCATGGAAAAAACATCACAGACATTTTATATGGAAAACAGCAATTGGACGAAACAATTGTAGCCTAGTTTATTTGCTCCCAACCAGTTGATGGAAACACACCTAATTTCTTTTCTTTTGTTTGTTTTTTGCGACATTTCAAAAGTTTGCTTGACAATTAGATGTAGTGGTGTTCGCCTCCCAGCCAAAAAGTACTGGGTTCGATCCCCAATGTTCACAACCTAACCAGTAGGTGTCTTAGAGCAAGATCCCTACCTGTACCTTAATAACACATTACCGTACCTTAAGGATAAAAAGCGACTAAATAGCAATCAAGACGATGGCTTGGAGGAAAGTGCCATGGTTTTAAAAGGTGTCATGCCTGGATATAATTAGTCAGAATGGAGGAGGAAGAGCAGGAGCCAGCGACCCATGGATCATATTTTGTCTCAAAGGCAGCAGGTCATAAAACACGGTCATTAGCGATATTCAGAATGGACGTTTCAGCTTCTCATCGATCCACGCCAATGTTTATGCATCATAATGGGATAATGACACTAGTGCACACACGTGCATGTGCAGACAATCACTATGTGTACACAAACACAAATGTATGCACATGCACACACTTATACACATCAGGTCAAAAGGGTCATAACTACGCCTCAATTGTAGACGTGTATTGATTCAAATCAATGTAAAATTTGGCGTTTAAGCTTTCATAAAGCTGCATTTTACGCCGTTGTATTTTATTACACTGTAAAATGCGCAATTTTAGTGGTTCTGTCAGAAAACACTAATTTCATAAATTTAACCATTTCTTGCATGAAATGGTAATACTCTTAAGTTTGGCGGTCTGGTTCCACTCTTTCAGGGTGCTCCCTGCTGTAGGATTTAAAGTATGACATACAGATGTCAGATACAGCGTAACAACATTTGACAACAGGGAGCACTACTATACAATCCCCCCCACGGGGTCCATCAGACATCTTAACCCTTTGTGTAGGTGACATACAGAGTACTGGTACAGAGCAGAACCAAAGCAGGTGGAGGCTGGGGTAGTGGTGGGTGAAATACAGCGCAGCACGTGTGTGAGATGTGTATGTGCATTTGATTAGACCGCGTTGGCTGTCAGCTGATAGGTGGCACATGACTAGAGTGTCCCACCGGAACTAGCTACATTTTAATGCATTTTACACCGTTTTGGCGCTAACATGAAGACGTCCAATTCTGTGGAAAATTAGCTCTTCCTTTTCATTTTCTCAGCCAGTAATTTCAAACTTTATTCACCCAGAAAAAAATCATCAATGGTATCTAAAGTCAGACCACACCAGTCAAATGCTGATCTTTCTATGGTTCGCCGCTGTGCTTTCACTTCACTACACTATATAGGCTATAGTGGGTGTTTAATGCATGTTTACTGCAGTAATCAACTGTAGGCTAAACATTGTTTTCACTTAAATCACCAAGTTTTGTCTTCTATGACTGTTCAATGTGAATTTAATTTGTGTTATTGTACATCTATTCTTCTTGGTGTTCAATGTGGCATTGACCTAATAAAATCAATACTGACCATTTTTTTGTTAAAAAATGTTCTGTTCAAATGAACTTCGGTCTACGACTACATTAGCCTGGTAACAAGAGAGAAGTTTAATTTACGTCACACGTTTTGTTGCTCTGATTGGTTGTAGGTATATCCAATTGCGTCCAGAGGCATTTTGGTCTGCGCCCATTGATAACACCCCTTGGAAATCGAAAATGAACTGAGCGGTTCCAGACTAATAGGCATTTGCAAATTGGTCTAGCGATGTCAGGCTACTACTACAAATGACTAAATGACAAATGACATTAAAATGTGTGTCCACTAGGTGACATCCAAATAATTAAATAGAAAATCCACATTCACTCCGGTAGTAGCCTAATATGAATCAAACTAAATATGGGTTTATTACAGAATAAACCCATATTGTGAGGGGTCATTACTGCCAATATTACAGTGCTCTTGTGCATTGAAGGCTCACTTGCGGAAGTAGCTCACCCGGGATGGAGCTTGTGCGGATGATTGATTAGAAAATTGAACATGGATTAAACACACCCACTGTTTAATCCATGTTCAATTCGGTATCAAATGTAGGCTACACTTTAGCAAGCACACAATCTGGATTTTAACCCTCTGGAGCCAACCATACACTTTCCACAACCGTCCGTTTGTCACCATTTGTTTTTTTGCCATTTCAATTGTTATTTTTGAATGCTATCATAAAATATTATATATCTCCAGAGTCAGCACTACTCTGCTATCCAGCTCTGGCACATGCAATAAGATGTGCCATAGTGTAAAATATAAGAAACATGGTAACACATGTAGAAAAACACAAAACAAATGCAGCCATACATTATTTTCTTTTTTTAAATCAAAAACACACACACAAATAACATGAAATAGAAATATCTTGATATATCTTGTAGAAAATACCCATTAGGGGTTAGAAATGTCCCACAACTGTTTAGTTGTGCCTTCTTTGGTCTGTTCTTAACTTATAGTGTCTTTTATGAGGTCTGTCCAACAGGTGTTTTTCATTTTGATCCATACCACTACATACTGCTCTGGTATGTGTCAAGGCAGCTTCTCTCCAAAATTACACAAAGCAGTACCTGACATGCCATGCAGATAAAGGGGCTCACTGGACTCAAGGATTAGGTATAATTGGTATACTTGGACTCAAGCGCCTCCCGGTAAACAAATTCCTCCGATTGGCTAATTTACATCAACTGGTCAAAATGATTTTTTTCCTGATTGGCTTGAATCGCTTGTGTGAAGGAAAACGACGATGGCTGTTCGTTACATCAGATCTGTATATCAACCTAACATGGCGTACGTAGTAAGGTAATGTTTTGTGTTTTTCAAACCACATAATTTGTAATTTTGTGCAACGATTTAGATTTAGTAATCCTCCATCCATCCTTAGACTCATATATATATATTTTGGCTTACTTTTACTTTTTGACTTAACTTTTTAAAAATAAGTGGGCTCGTTTAGGCTCCAGAGGGTTTCAAACGCTGGTTGGTGGTTGAACTCTCGTACGGTTTGTTTGGGCGCTTGTGAATGCAGCAATCGAACCTTAGTGTGGCTCAATTGCAGAGAACCCAATGAATTATGAGTTATAGTCTACTACGTGCATAAGGCCTATCTGGGTTTCATCTGCGTTTGATGCATATTAGACTAGCGCTACTACCACAGTAGCCTCGATTTCCAATCTCGCTTGTGACACTTTCTACTGGCGGGAATGGGGATTTTCTATTTAAAGTATTTAGGTGCCACCTAGTATTAGACAGAGACCACATTCATTTGAACAAAACTATTAATCGTCGGTATTGATTTTATTAGGTAAATGAATATTGCCTATTGGTAAACAGCCACACTGAACACCAATATGAATAGATGTACAATAACACACATTAGATTCACATTGAATCTGAAATATGGATCCATTTGCTACTTTCTGAGAACTAAAGGGAGAAATAATGTGATCTAAGTGAAAATAATGTTTAGCCTACAGTTAATTACTGAATTGAACATGGATTAAACACCCGATATAGCCCACATAGTGTAGTGAAGTGAATGCACAGCGGCGAACGATAGAGAGATCAGCAATGGACTGGTGTGGTCTGACTTTGGTTACCATTGTTAAAGTTTGAAATTACTGGCTGAGAAAATAAACAGGCAGAGCTCATTTCCCTATAAAAAAACGCTAAATTGGACAGCATCATTTTGGTGCCAAAACTGTAAAATGCACCGTTTCAGTGGTTTTTAGCCACCATTATTTTTTTCGATCGATTTAAATCAATACACATCTACAATGAGGTGTCATTGTGACACACGCACACGTATACACATGCACACACTCACTGCATACAAACACACACACACATGCACACACACACAGACTGACTGCCCATAACGTTTAAAAATGACAGATGTAACATTTTTTATATCAAATCACTGTAATTGATTTAAAATAACAATTAATTTATGTGAGAAAAGTGTGATCACATGTGTCACATAATTAATGTAATTAAAGACTACAATGTAGTGAGAAAATGAATGAAAACAAATTTAATTACGATAGGGTCCCCGCGCCTCTCGGACCCCTTACGCATCATGCTTGTGACATGTCCTGGAAATTCATTTAGCTAATATAAGATAAGATAAGATATACTTTAATGTCCCCGTAGGGAAATTTGCTCTGGACTCCATCAGGCAGTTCCACAGAGGATTTTGTTTGTTTGTTTGTTCTTTATTCCGAATATGTAAAAAACAAAAAAGAAGAAGAAGGAAAAACATAGGAAAAATTACAATGAATAAATCATATACAGCATAGTAAAAAACATCAACATCTCAACAACACATAGCTTTCATAATAGTTTGTTGGATTTCCAGCATTGTAAGGCAAGGCAAAGCAAGGCAGCTTTATTTATATAGCGCATTTCATACACAATGGCAACTCAATGCGCTTTACATAAAACAGTAAGAATTGAAATAAAAAAAATAAAAAATAAATAAAAACAACTACAGAAGCATAAAATAATGATTTAAAAGGACATAATAGAAAGA